TAGGTATTCTGGTCAGCGTCTTCACTGATAAGGCAGATCCTACCCACCATGGAACCCATCCATGAACATTCATATTGGTGTCAAATGTAATTTTATTAAATGAGATCACTGATACCTGCTGAATCTTAGCTTTAAAAAAATAGCATTTTTTTTCTGTAATCCTGTAACTGAAATTGTAAACCCACTTAATTATGAAAGGTTTAATTTTTTTATTCCTCAAAGATATTTCAAGTTTTTGTAAATAACTAAATGCTTTGATTTGTGTCATATAAAAGGTTAAACAAGATGGAGCAGTAAATCCTATCTTGATATCCCTCTGTGTTTTCTTGACAAAATATAAAAGATAATCTAAACTAAACACATAATAATTTTGAAAGATCTGCTTATATCAGAAAATAAAACATAGGGCAGTGAGAGTAATGTGAAAGGCCTGAATAGCCCATGCCTTCAGTTCCTGAGAGTCTCGGGCTGAAAATGTTAAGAATTAGCAAAGAAATGCAGAAAGACAAACTTTAAAAAGCCTGATGACGAAAGCTAAATATTCAGCTGCCCCGACTCTGGCCTGGTAAAACATTTTAAGGAGTATCCACGTGTCAAATCATGTAGAAGTCACAAATTTTTAAGAATCTAGTATTATACATATTATGTCCTTTTAACCATAATTAAATCTACAGTAAAGATTATTGAGATAAGCATAATTAAAAAAAATTTTTTTGGAAGGCAGATAGTACAGAGAGAAAGAGGAGCTTCCATTTGCTGGTTCACTACCAAAATGGCCACAATGGCTAGAGCTGAACTTATCCAGAGCCAGGAGCCACGAGCTTCTTTCTGGTCTCCCACACGGGTGCAGGGTCCCAGGGACTTAGAAGTGAATTAGAAGAATACCTAATACTCCATTGTTTTCCCAGGCAACAAGCAGGGAGCTGGATGGAAGTAGAGCATCTGGGAGTTGAATTGGAGCCCACATGGGATTCCAGTGTTGCAAATGGGTGCTTTGCTTGCTATACCACCCTGCCAGTCCTGTGGTAAACATTGTTTTTTTAAGAGTAGTGTAAAACTGGTAAATAGTCAATACAGAAAAAAAAATTGGATTGAATTGCAAAGCACAACTGAACTACACAGTTTTCAATTTAAAAAATGGATGAATTCCTGCGACAGCTTTAGTGAGGAATATATAATTCAGATTTCAAAAGAAAGATTAGAAGATTTGAGTACTTGCAAAACAAACGTGTGGTGGTCATTGCGGCAAAGCCACTGCTTGGGATGCTTGCCTTGCATATCAGTGTACCATCTGAGTCCTGGTTACTCCATTACTAGTTCAGTTTCCCGTTAATGAATCTTGGAAGGCAATGAAAGATGGCTGAAATGCTTGGGTCTTTAGCAACCATGTAGGAGACCCACCTCAAGTTCTAGGGTTTTACCTGGCCTCCCTTGGATGTCTTGGTTATTTGAGGACTGAACCAGGGGGTAGAAGATTCTCTTTCTTTGTTGATGCCCCTTCTTCCAACCCTGCCTTTCAAGTAGATGACAAAGGATTTTTTTTTTTAAGCAAAAATATCAAAACATAAAGCATGGAATGTGCTGGTGTTGTGGCCTACAACGCTGGCATCTCATTTCTGAGCCAGAACCAGAATACCTGTTTGAGTCTTGGCTGCTGGGCATCTGATATGGCTAGCTGCTGATGCATCTTGGACTAGCAACAGGAATGACCCTAATACTTGATTCTTCGATACTCACATGGAAGGCCTGGGTGGGGTTCAGGCTCAAGGCTTCAGCCTGGCTGGTCCTCAGCTGTCACGGCCATTAAGGAGTGAACCAGCAGGTTGGAAGGTAGCTTTCTCTGCTTTGTCCTCTCCCTCTGACCTGACCTTTCAAATAAATAAATAATTTTTTAAAATGGGGATAAGCAAAGCAAAAGGACAGATGAGAAATTGTGGGAAATCATTAGAAAGTTTGTTTCTAGTATATAGTTCGTGTAGAAAAGAAATAGTAAAGACAGTAACCTTACAGAAAGTTGCTAACAGATCAGTAAGTAATTAAAATGACCCTTTAATGGCGCTGGTTGAAAATCGCCCTGGCTTTGGCCGTAGCCGTGGGTGAGATTCAGCGCCTAGAGCCACCAGGAGCCTCAGCTCATCTCCCACTGCCTGTGTGGAAAGGTGAGACCCGGGCCCCGACAGGTGAAAAAATAAGATAAAATGATCCTTTGAAGTACAAAAGTTGTTTAAATTTTCTTGTACTAAAGACAGCAAAAATCACACTGAGATACTTTGAGCTGGACCAGCTTTGGAGAATTGAAGACTATCTTTCATTATTGATGAACATTGAACAGAGTACAGCCCCTGACAGGAGAAGATTTAGCAGTATCTAGATTTACTTACAATTTTAACTGTTTAATGAAGTAAACCCCCATTTAGGAGTCTTTCACAAAGATAAAGTAGCAAGATATAAAATATATGTGAGCTTATTTCTGTGCAGTACTTCTTCTTTAGACTTGTTTTTAAGGGAGAATAGTGAGACGGTAGTAGGAAATTGTTCAGTGGAATACAGTTCAGCTATTTCAGAAAATTGGGGGGAGGGATCCTTTGTACTGGTTTGTAATATCAAGTTTATATTCCTCACAGAATAAAAGCAAATAGAAGAAAGTGTATTTGTAATGTGCTATTATATATCTAAGTAAGATATATATGATTTTACTCAGATTTTTTTTAAGGAGAATAAATCCAAAGCTTATTAATAATTGATTATCTGTTGGGATGTGAAATAAGACACTGAAATTCAAAAACAGTAACAAAATAAAAGGGAAGTGGGAATAAATAGTAGAAATAAGTTAATTGGTAATGTTATTATCCTATGTTAGTATGTTCTTGAGCAAATCAATAGATTTTACTGAGGTAAAACATTCTGAGAAATACTGGTCTGTTTTTTTTCTAATAATGGCCTTTTTTTCCTTAGATAGGATGACTTCGTAGGAAAGCTAGGCAATCTAAGCGGAAATTGTTAGCCTTCTTATGACATTTTATATCTTAAATAGTGTTCTCTTTTTTTGAGGTTTATTTGTTTATTTGCAAAGTAGAATTAGAGAGAATCTTCCATTCATTGGTTTACACCTCTAATGGCCGTAATGTGCAGAGCTGGGCCAGTTTGAAGCCAGGAGTTTCTTCCCAATCTCCCACCGGTGCAGGTGCCCAAACTATTTCCCGTGACACATTAACAGGGAGCTGGATTGGCAGTGGAGCAGCTGGTATGAGGGGCCAACACCACAGGGGGCAGCAACTTTGTACCAGGCATTGAGGATGTGTATGTGGATAAAATGCTGCCTCTCTGCTTCTGGGACAGGATAAGATAGGGTACAAATGAATAAGCAAATTAGAATCTGATAAGAAATAACTACACAACGTGAAAAAGTTCTGACGCACTTAAAGAAGCAGTCTTGCTGTTTGTAATAAATCCTGGGAAAGCTCGTGTTGTGTGGTCTGGAAGAGGTGACAAATTACAACTGTTCTGCCATATTCTACTGTGACAGAATAGAGGATGTGAAAAATTCTGTGCCTGGAATGCAAAGAAATTACAGGATCTCTCAGTGTGTGTTAAGATCTTTATTGCAAGGTTTATGATCTTATGTGGTACCAAGGTTATATTGGCCTCTGGAGTGTTGGAGAATATTCCTTTGTTATCTGAAAGAGGTAATGTGTGATTGATCTGCTTTTCTTGAATGTTGGTAAACCCATTTGGGCCTGGGATTTTCTTTCACCAGAGTATATTAAATATTTAGTTAAAATGTTGTAAAAAACACAGTATGTGGGCCAGGTTCAGTAGCCTAGTGGCTGAAGTCCTCCCCTTGCATATGCTAGGATCCTGTATGCTTGCTGGTTCATAGTCTGGCTGCTCTGCTTCCCATCCAGCTCCCTGCTTGTGGCCTGGGAAGGCATTAGAGGATGGCCCAAAGCCTTGAGATCCTGTACCTGCATGGGAGACCCAGAAGAAGCTCCTGGCTCCTGGCTTCAGATTGGCTAAGTTCTGGCTGTTATATCCACTTGGAGAGAGAACCAGCAGATGAGAGATCTTTCTCTCTGTCTCTCCTTCTCTGTAAATCTGAATTTTCAATAAAAATTAAATAAACTGTTTGTAACCTATTTGGGTGTGTGCTGGGGAACACAGTATGTGGTGACTATAGCTCTCCTGTGTCCAGGTGCTTGTGGGCCCATTTGCCGTGAGCATACACTAGGCATTTACTTGGCTATGTTGGGGACGTATACAGGGTTACTTCAAATTTCATGTACCAGAACAAAACTTAACTTTTCATTCCATTTTGCACAAACTTTTTGATTGACCCTTAAATAGGAACACATTAAGGAGCACTTTGATGGATTTTAATTACTCAGAATACTTTGTTTCAGTTGCTTTTGTAATGGATCTTAATTTAGGTTTATATGTATATATTTATGGTAGATATATTTTCATCATCCAAGCTTAAGACATGTTAAGGATTTCTGTCAAACTAACAGCTTTAGTCACCCAATTTCCCAGCTCTGGGGCCAACTTATTAGCTGCTTTTTGCTAGTCTTCAGTTCATACTATACTCAGTATATATTTCCTGTCTCCTTTTATTTTGCATTTTGTATTCTATACTTTGCTTGTAACAGTACAGAAGTAATTCAGAATGTTTGTGAAAAATGGAATTAAATGACAAATTGTTTCGTTGTAAAAAAATTTAAGCCTTACATAGTATTTCACACTTGATCTTAGCCAAAAGGCTGAGAAGCGATTTTGCATAGATTTTAATTGATATTTTTCGTAAGCTTTCTGAAGAGCTCTTAACAGCAATGAAAACAACAATATTAAGTAATCATTATGGATTTTTGGGTTGTTTCTATCCTTAATGTAAAAAAGAAGAGAAACCACTGCCCTGAGTGTCCCCAGTTGCTTTTGAACAGTGAAGTCATCGTTTTCTACTCCTTTACTGGTTTTTGGATAACACATCTCCTGTTTCATTGCAGCCATGAACCAGAGAATCAGTCAGAGTGCTCCAGTGAAGCAGCCACCACCCCTTGCTCCCCAGAGCCCACAAGGGGGTGTCCTGGGTAGTGGCAGTTCCAACCAGCAGCAGCAGATGAGGCTGCAGCAGCTGCAGATGGAGAAAGAGAGACTGCGACTGAAACAGCAAGAATTGCTCCGGCAGGTGAGGCCACAGGTTAGAAAACCAGCCTTCCACTTTTTTGGATTCGTTTTCCTATATAAACTCAAGCGGATTTCATTTTACTGCTTGTTAGTCACAAGGAGTGTTGTCTCTGTAAAATCAGAGCAATGCAAGAACAAATTCTGTTCAGCTGTATCATCTTCGTTTCTGGACTGGTCTGAGGTCACATTGGGTGTATATGGCAAACCATATCATACAGAGCTGGCCAGAGACACTGCAATTGAACAGAAATCTAAGGAAATAAAGGTGCTTCCACAAATGTGTGAGGAATTGGACTTTATTTCTGAGGATTTGAATAAAGGGGTAACTATGGAATATCACTTGGAAAAAGCACTTTTGTTTCAAGTGATGTATTTTTCGAGGACAAGGGCTTACGTGGTAAACCAGCATGCCATTTCTTGAATGACATACTTGTTTCAGTATTGCTGAATCTAAGGACTTTTATTTCAGATGTAACGGAATTATCCCTAATTATGGAAGAGCCAAATTTTCCTTTACATTACTTTTTTTCTTTTTATCTGGTAAGGATAAGACCAAACAGCAAATACTTTGAAACCCTTTCTGGCCATATTATGTCGATTTCCTTTCAGATCTATTGGTCTTCATGTTCTATAAGGATAAATTAATCCCTTATGTCAAAATTAGTTTTGACTTTGTTTTGTTTTAGAGTAAATAGAGACTATTTGAATTGGGGTATGACCTTAAACAATGTGGATATTTTTAAATTTTTACTACAGTATTTCACAAAGTTCATGGAAAATGAAATGGAAAGATAATTTTGAGGCCAAAGTTGAAATTCATATGCAATTAGTATATACATATATTCATAGAAATGTGTATTATGAAAAACTGTATGGATTTCAAGATATTGTACCACAATAAACTTAGTTTTGAATTCTGTGTTCTGTGGACTTACTAAAGCACCCTCATATAAAAAGAATTTTAGGTAAAGGAAAAATGATACAGTAATGCAAGTGTACAAAAGGTAAGTACATTGGAAGTGAATATTTTTTTCAGTTTTCTCAGTTGAGTTTAAATAACAGATTCCTGGATTTTAATCTTTTTCCCAAAGACACCGTACTTACAAACATAGAATACACATATCTATACTATTCTCCCCTCACAAATCAAGCATGCCTAACATAGACGGTGTAGAGTTGTTGCATTCTGCATTTTTGCTACCATTTTAATACACCTTTTTCAATGGTCTGTATTTTAAAGCTGTGACTTGAGTGTCCATGATATGCATGAATATGATAATTATGTCTGAACTCTTGATTTGGGAGATTTTAGGAGCTGGTATCTGATAAATTAAGCCACGGAAATCCGGACAGACTACCTTTAAACTATGTTCTGTCGGTGAGTGTAATTCTGTGGTTGGCATCAGAAGTGAGCCCTGACGAGGCAGAGAGTTTGTGCCAGCATTTGCTGCTGGGAAGTGGTTGGCAGAGAGATGTTTCTTCACTGTTGCAAGCAAGTTGGAGAGAGGCAACGTATTGACATGGTTTATTAACCTCTAACTAGCTTTCTAACAAATGGCTGAAAAGGAAGGGCGTTTCTACTCAGATAAAACCCTATTGTCAGAATGAGGTCATATCATCCATAATGTAGTTACACAGATATTAGAAGAAGCAGTAGTTTAAGTATGTTTTGCAACCACCTGTTTTCATTATTTACTTTTCATCTTATTGTTAATGAATATTAGTTCAAAAACATACAAGTTTCAATTTCACATTTGAAGATTGTCAATAAGCCTTAACAAGAAAGAAGTTCTTTGATTGCTAATGTTGAAGTCTTGTTGTTTTTGAGATAAGTTTTAAAGTCTTAGAAATGGAGCATTCAGCATTTTTCCGTGTGCTGTAGATCAGCCTGGTTTTTTGGTGTGCAAGGTGCTGCCACTTGTAAAACTATCCCTTCTAAATCTGACTTTTGCTCTGGTTGGTGGGTCCTGAGCAGAATAATTTCAGTTCCTTTAAAGGTAACCTCTTTATTCTTCCTTATTTACCTACTCTGTTGTCTTATGCTGAAGTGACACACCTACTTGATTCTCATTAATAATCTGTATTTTAGAATTGTTTTATTAATATAAACTCAGTGTCTTAAGCCTTGGCTCCCTGCAAACTTCTTCCATGATAGTTCTCTTATCACTGAAACATAAATTATTTTACCTGCTTCATCTAATATGCAGAAATAGAAACTTACCTGACCAATATCAAATTTACTTTAGTTCTGACAGCTTAATTCTTACTGTCCTATCTACTCGATACTGTTAAAGCGATGTCTGAGGTTTCAGTTTTGTTACGTGGTCCCTCCATTGGCTTCTGTCTTCCTCAGCCTGTTGCTTGGGTAGCTTTGGGAATTCTGTGCTATGGTGATATGTCTGTATGCGATTGTAAGTCAGCCTACACAGCCAAACCATGTGGCTTAAAGTAATTTTTATCCATCTTATGTTTTACTCTTAGGCAATGCGGAATATCAATCCCAGCACAGCAAATTCTCCAAAATGTCAGGTAGGCTCTTATCTGATATTTTAGCATTGAAAGAAAAAAAAAAAAGATGTTAGGGAAAAGAACCTTGTATTCCAGGGGCCAGTCCTTCCTGTAGATTAGCCCAGAGTATAATTGTGAGCTCTCTTTTCTGCCAGGATATGTAAGATGAAGTTGCTGTTCCCATAAAGTTTCTACTATCTGATCTCTTCCTTTCTCCTTCCAGAGAGCTTCTAATATTTATATTGATTCCATTGAGGTCTTTTCAGTCCCACATTTGGAATGTAAAAGTCCATGTTGTTCAGTTCAAGTAAAAATTAGATATGCCTAATTTAAAAATGTTAGTGCTATAAACAAAAACTAAATTGAACAGAAAGTAGGATAAATTGTTTATTTGGCCAGTCACATAGATTAGTTTAGGAAGTCATGTGAAGAATCAGGATACTAGGGGAGAAGAAGTCTTTCTCTTAGACATTCATTCCAAAAGAACAGTATCTAAATGAAGCAGGGGCCGTAATTTGTCTGGGTAGTGTTTCAGGTCTCTCTGTGTTGGCTTTTATCAGTGTTCATCCCTAATGAGCCTCAGGGAACACTGGCAGTGACAGCATCTTTCTGAATTGGAATGACCACCAGTTCTAACTCATTATGATCACTTCTGTCTCTAATACAGGCACTTGTCTGACTCGTGGAAGAATCTCATCCTTGAAACCAAAGAGATTCTGTATATTAGGAGTCCACGAAATTCTTAGGGTCTTTGCTCCTTTCTTGAATGGATAAAAGTAACCATGAAAACACCTCACGTTCAATGCAGCTCATTCTTTATGAGGCCAAAGAAGTGCATTGTTGTAACACCAGCTGTGAAAGTGGGAGTTGACAAATTCCACTCATTTTAGATACTGTTAGCTTGTTCAGTGGAGAGCTGTGCCGATAAGGTCAGGTACAGTTCTGTGAGAGAAGAACATCTGTTCTTTATCAAATTCCTCCATTTAATCAAAGACTAAGTAAAGGAATAGTTCATAGTAATTTACCTTCCTAAAAATTAATGCTGAGGGTATTAACGTCATATTTGACTATGAAAAGCAACAGAATATTGGATTTTTAAAAGGGAAGACATTCTTGATTTTTCTTCCTTAATGTTTCTGAAAGACAGTTTTTTTTTATTCATGACAAATGAAGTGGAAACTAATATAGGAACCGAAATTCATACAAATGAGATTTGGACTCAAGAGTTCTCCATGCCAAAAGTAGATATTGAAATTGCCTCTCTTTTTGCCTAGTCATATCTTATGCTTATAAATTAAGTGCTTCTAACAGTATTTCATACTTAATTAGAACAGTAAACAGTTACTGTTATTAAAATTACCACCAGGAAGTCTTAGCTTTAAAAAAAATAGTAAAACTTTAGGAAAGTGTAGGCTTGAAAGTCATTAAAAACTCTTTAAGGGGCCAGTGTGGTGGCCTAGTGGCTAAAGTCCTTGCCTTGAACATGCTGGGATTTCAAATGGACGCCGGTTCCAATCCCAGCAGCCCCACTTCCCATCCAGCTCCTTGCCTGTGGCCTGGGAAAGCAGTCGAGGACAGCCCAGAGCCGTAGGACCCTGCATCTATGTGAGAGACATGGAGGAAATTCCTGGCTCCTGGCTTTGGATCAGCTCAGCTCTGGCCATTGCAGTCACTTGGGGAGTGAATCATCAGAAGATCTTCCTTTCTGTCTCCTCCTCCTACCCTCTGAATATCTGCCTTTCCAATAAAAAAAATTTTTTTTAAGGATAAACTAGAATTTTTTTAAAAAAAATCTCTTTAAGATACTAAAATTACAGAATTGCTTGTATTTGCTAAAGCAAAGGCAAGAAACTTAAAAAGAGACCTTTTAAAATTGTATATGGTGGAGATTAAAATATTAAATGGTTAAATATATTTTAATCATCAATGTATTTACCTGGCAAAGATACAGCAATACAGGAAATACATGAGTATTGAGTGTTAAGTTTGTTATAGCTCAGATACATATAATGTTGTGATGCTTGCATCAGGAAAGCATGTGTATATGTAAACAGTCTCAATCCAGAAACCAGGAGTCTCTTCCGAGTGTCCCACGTGGGTGCAGGGTCCAAAGGCTTTGTACTGATCTTGACTGTCTTCCCAGGCCACAGGCAGGGAGCTGGATGCGAAGTGGGGCAGCTGGGCATCTACCAGCACCCATATGGGATCCTGGAGCAGGCAAGGCTACTGTGCTGGGCGCATCCATGTATGTGTTAATCTTACACATTTTCTCTGTGGTCTTAAAGAAGATGCTGTAGGAGCTGAAAAGTAATATGCCTTTTCTTATTCATGATAAGGATCATGACTAACAATCCTATAATAAGAAATAGGTTAACAGGAGAAAAGAATAACCAAGCTTAGATAATTTTAGGTGACACATGGAGTTTTCAGAAGTGAAGATTCCCCAAACCTAGGGAATACTCTATTTTTATTCCTGAATTCAATGAATAATGAACAGCCATGTTAGAAATGTGATTAGGTGATAGAGTATGAGCTAAAGGTAGTATTAGTGGCTGGGAAAGTCAACTAAGCCTGATGTTTAGAATCTTCTTGGCTTCTCGGCAGTGTTCCTTCCTCCTGAGTTTAAAGCGGAACCCTTTCTGAAAAGAGTCTTATCTTTCAAATGAGGCATGTCAGCACTTCTGACTAGTTCCTACACAGAAAAGTAGAGCAAGCTTAGAATTATACTCCTGGATTTGATTGCTTGCTTTGCAGTGAGCATGGGAGTTTATAAGGTCTGTCTTGAGGAACAGAGATTATTTTTCTGTGACATGCTTTGGGGAAGAAAGAATTCTAGATTTTATGGGGAAAAGGGGAAATGGGAAAAGGGAGAAAGAATAGGAGGGGTTCGCAGAGACAGGGTGTAGAGAGAGCTTAAGATTGTAATTTTAATTATGTATGATTTTTATGTTTCAAAAGCAATTTGATCTCAGGCAAAACTTATTATACTGAATGTTTTGCTTTGTGGTGTTCAGCATTGGCCATGATCCTTTGGTTCGAAGTTCTCAACATACCATAGTTGCCTGTATTGTGAGATATCATTGCCCGAGTCTCAACTGTATTTTCAGAAAGATTTTACAAAAAGGTATATCTAAAAAAGAAGAAGCTTTTAAGTACGATTTATCAGTATAATTAAGAAAGCAAGAAAGGGCTCTGTATTCTCAAAGAGAAAAATATATAAAGATGTAACTTAATGTGTGCCAGACATTTTAAAAAATTTATTTGCTCTGGTTTTCTAGTAAAAACTAGAGCAGCTGAATGGGTGCAAGCCATGCAGAAATAAGTACAATTAGTTTATTATTATATACTTCATGTGATTTTGAAAGTAAGAAGATGTCAAACTTAAATGTGTATGAATTACTGAATCAAAGGCTGTCTTTCCATACTCTTCACAGGATCAACAAATGATGTGTATGTCTTAGGATTCTGTCTTCATATAAACTAGAACAGGCAAGGATGAGGTTATTGAAAGAATCTTGAGATGCAGCTCACATGATGTTGAAACAAAATTTTGAAAAGTAAACACAACCTTAGAAATAATCATATATCTTGTGAGATATGAAAATGAGTCCCTGCATTTATTATCATTATAGAGTCAGGAGGAATCTTCCCCACATAAGGCTTAAAGTTTTTTTCAATTTTAATTTTGCATAGTTTTGGTGTTTTTAAAGCAATTTGTACCTCAGATAAAACTTTCTTAAACATTTTGCTTTGTGGTACTCAACAAATAATACTCACTTTTCTAGTTGTACGATCTTTCTTACAACTCAGTGCTCCTTTGTAAATTGGAGTGACCTTTGGAGAGCAATTTAAGGATGTATTCCAGCTTCTGTTTTAACATCTATAGAGAGAAACACATTCAGGAAAGATAATTCTTCTTAAGTGTGATTTTTTTTTTTCAATCACTTATGCTAAAGGATGTAGTTCTTACTATCTGGGGTCTCTGATATCTGAGAGATAAAGTTAGTCTCTGCAACCTGTCGTGGGTTGTGGTCATGGTACCCTTTTCTCTTTCTGCTTCATCCAGTTTCTCTTCGTTAGCTGAGTACCTGTGATGCCACTTCTGAGCTTTTCTCTGTAGTGAAAATCTTGCTTTCTCTTGTTATCTATCAGTTAAGAATTTCCATTTCCTTAATAAGGCCTAGGTAGAAACTTATCCTTAAGTGGCCTTATGAAACTCAAAAAACTATGTAGAAAGTGTGGTGCTGGCATTGTGGCACTTGGGATACTTGCCTCACTTCCCGTCAGCTTCCTGCTAACACTCAGTCTGCAAGGTAGCAGGTGATGTGCGGGTACTTGGGTACCTGCTCCTGGCACTGGAGATGCAATTGATTTCTTAGTTCCAGATTTGGCTTGACTCGGTCTCCACTTCTGTGGACACAATGGGTGAAAATTGATCTGTGTTTCACTCTGTCTCTCTCACTCTTGGTTTCATTGTGTCCTTCCCCTTGGAAAAAGGAAAAATATTAAAAACAACTCAGAAAATGGGGGGAAAAATGTTATACAAAGTAATCTTGGGGGCCCTGCGGCATGGTGGCCTAGCAGCTACAGTCCTCGCCTTGAACGCACCAGGATCCCATATGGACGCGGGTTCTAATCCTGGCAGCTCCACTTCCCATCCAGCTCCCTGCCTGTGGCCTGAGAAAGCAGTTGAGGATGGCCCAATGCTTTGGGACCCTGCACCCATGTGGGAGACCTGGAGGAGGTTCCTGGCTCCTGGCTTCTGGCTCCAGATTGGCATAGCACCGGCTGTTGCATTCACTTGGGAAGTGAATCATCGGATGGAAGATCTTCCTCTCTGTCTCTCCTCCTCTGTGTATATCTGCCTTTCCAATAAAAATAAATAAAATCTTTTAAAAAACAAAGTAATCTTGGAATAGCCAATTCCAAGTTAGGTGGCCAGAGAATTGATACGGAATGATTTTTGTTTTTTAGCAAGTAATTGCTTCAGTCTTCATGGAAATTATAGTAGAGGTTTTGGA